TACTAAAACATACCAAAATTGATAATATAGGTACTGAACGCGTAATTTACTCTAAATAAGAATCCTAGAACATAGATAATTTTACCATACGACAGTCTTAATATACATCTAATAAAAGATCCCACTGAAAATATTAATATTTTTAGCTCGTAAAATAAATAAAAATAAAAATTATTTATAAAAACATTAATAGGTTCATACAACATATACTAAATGGGTCCCCCAAATTGTTGGTGTTATTAGTGAAAGAAGAAAGGCAGCATCCACATGCTATAGGGACCCAACATGGATGTTTCCTTAATAGATTCAATGTACAAACACATGCATTATACCCAACATACCTTAAGTTTAGTTTTTATTTCATTTTAGTACTACCGTTTAAAATTTAATATTAATTTTTTTAAAAAAATTAAAAGTTTAGGTACTAAAGCGGACCAAAATTAATAGTTTATGTACTAAACGCGTTAAATTTTTAATGGTCAGGTATTAAAATAAAACAAAAACCAAACATTATGTATAGTTTTAAAAGAATTAAAAGTGTAAATACAAAAACAAACTAAAATTAATAATTTAAATACCAAACGCGTAATTTACTCTAAATAAGAACTCAACTGTATACAGACTCGCTAATAAAGACTAATAAAAAAATATGATATATTGCTTTATAATATTAAAACAAAAAGAAACAGCAAAAACTACCAATCTTTGTAATGTATTATTTTATTTATAAATAATGTAAATTAAAAATAAATAAAAATATTTTCAATTCCTAAATCATAAAATAAATAAAAATATTTATAAATCTCGTAAGTCGATCAAAAAATATTTATTTTATTTTGTGTGGGGTTGAAGTTGTCATTTTCAATTCCTAGAACATAGAATCATAAAATAAATAAAAAATCAGAATTATTTTTAAAAACATTAATAGGTCATACAACATATGCTAAATGGGTCCCCCAAATTGTTGGTGTTATTAGTGAAAACATGGATGTTTCCTTAATAGATTCAATGCACAAACACATGCATTGTACCCCCCACCCACCCCTAAAAGTTTATACCTAATTAATAAATATAAGGGTAAAGATCGTAAATAGTCCATCGATTATAGGATATTACTTTATTAAGTTTATCGATTATTAGAAGTTATAAAATGGTCCTTCGACTATGGAGTGTTGCTTTGTTGAGTCCCTCAACTATTAAAAGTTACAAAATGGTGACCCGACTTTTCATGATGTTCCAGACTCGTCCTTTTACGTTAAAAGATTGGCGGTTGTTTAATCTAGATGTTAACATGATTGGGATGTAATAGTTTGTTTGAGATTTTAGGATCAAATCTATCATATCACAGTTAACAAGTTAACGTTTAACTAAGAATATCGTCCATTTTTAACAGAAAATGACGAGTTTGGAACATAATAAATAGTCAGATGATAATTTTGTAACTTTTAATAGTCGAGGGACTCAACAAAGCAACACTCCGTAGTTGAAGGATCATTTTGTAACTTTTAATAGTCGAGGAAGTTGAAAAATAATATCTTATAGTTGGAAGACCATTTACGCTCTTTACCTTAATTTTATACATTAACAATAAAATTTATGAACGAGGAGAGATTCAAATAGTACCTATAGGTACGAGTATGGGTAGAGTTGAGTTAGATTTTTGGTTGATCTAGACCTAACTTAAGCATTCTATCCATCCATCTTTGATCCGACCTAACTCGAAAAAATGTATATATATTTTTATTACGTAAAACAAAAATTTAATTAAAAATACAGATAAAAATATTATTGTAATTATCTCCGAATATATAAGAGAAATTTGTCTTATTTTCTTAAATTGACGATTTTTCATTATAAAAGTGACTCAATATTATATTTTTAAAAAATCAAATCGATTTTATCCGAACTTGATTTTTTTAAAAATAATTCGATAATATAAAATTGGATCGAATCAAAATTCATTGAATCCAAATATCATGCTCATCTTTATGTATATACATTGTATCAAATGATTAATAAAATTATAATTAAGATTTATTTTATTAATTAAAATCCATTATTCTGTTACGTTCTCCCTAGACGCTAAACCAACCTATCAATCGTTCATTGAATTCGATATTCAAAATCTTTTCCCATTTAAAAACCTTTCTTCTTTCTTTATCTTCCCCACTTTGATCGCCATTCATCGTGAAAATCTCTGAAATCTCGACCAAAACCCACCAGAAAGAAGAAAGAATGAGTGTTTCATCAACGATTTCATCTTGTTTTCTCACGCAAGGGATGTTTCTATCGCTGGCGGTCCCGTTCCTCGCTCTGATCTACATCTTCCTCGTCATCTTGGAGTCTCAATGGAGCAGCAGCGGAGCCCATTATCCTTCGTTGCTTCATCAAGATTGCTGCTTCCCGATGTCGAACAAGATGGGTGATTTTGTTGTTGTGAGTGATTCCAAGTCCTCAAACGTCATGGAAAATCAAGCATGCTTTCCCTAGCAATTTCGAGAACGATTGTCTGGGCGTATGTTTTCTTTCCTGGGGTTTAATCTGTAGGTTTAACCAAAGTTTCGAATTAGGGTTTCGATGTGAACTACTAAATTTTGTTTAGTTTTAAATACAGTTTCTGTTCAAATTAATTACTGATTTGGTGAATGTTGATTTGAGTTTCATCAATTAAATCTCAAACCATGTTCAAGTAATTTAGGGTTAAACAATAATTAGTATCATTAGTCAAATTCTCCAATTCTTAAACTAAATTCTTTATAAAATTTGAACCAAGGTTTTAAATAGCGGTCCGCGATAGCGCCCAAGCCTTTCGATATATCAGTTATATCCGCAATAGTACTCACTATGATCGCAATAACGCCTGTTATAGCCGTAATCGCGATAAACGAGACAGACCGAAAACGCGACCGAGATTTGAATAACTATAAATGGAGAAGGTTAATTAATTCTCTAAATCATAAGTTTTTGCTTGTTAGAAATTTTTCTAAACTTTTGTGTAAAGCACTAAAAAAGTAAACCTTGGTAAATAATTTTTTATTTATTTTGATTTAATAACCGTTTATATTGATTCTTAATTTTTAATCAAAAAATAAATTTTTTATTTATTTTTAATTATAGCAGTTTAAAATATTAATTTGTTTTACAAATTGAAATGACCGTATATTAATATAAAAGAAGCTTACAGAAAATGCAGATATTAATAATCTTGTATATTTGGTTCATGAAAAAAAATTTGGTGAGCTTAAATTAATTTTAAGTTAATAAAAAGTAAGTTATTTTTTACTATAAAATTATTTTTATGTGATATCCAATATTTAACAGTAAATATATGGATTAAAATACATAAAAAATTAGTAATAAATGTTTTATAATATAAAAATATGAATATTTTAATACTATAAAATATTATTACATATGCTTACAATATTTTATGTTTCTATTCACACGAACAAAACTAAAATCAAATAGGATCAAATGTTGTTGGGAAAAATAATCTATTAAAAATGGGGGAAATAAAGACATTATTTAATTACTACTTTAATTAATAAGAATTTAAAATATTATTTTATAAAAAGACAGCAGACCTCAAGCAACAAATGACTATCTATACATAGATCATGTATATTTAGGATATTTAGGAGTGGTTATCAAGCGAGTCGATCACAAGTTAGATAATGCTTGACATATGCTCGTTAAAAAAATTATTTCTCGAATCGATTCGTTGTTCGTCGAAGTCACCAAAACTTTCCATAAACTGCTCATGCACCATTCCTGAGGGTGGTAATGGACCGAACAAGGGGATGAGAGCTAGAGCCTGCATTGGGATCATTCAAAAGATGAACAGCACAATCAGAGTGAATCTTAACCAATTCATAACCATGAGCACGAGCCAATTGAAGTCCAATGAGAATCGCCCATAGCTCGGCATGGAAAACGGGCAATATCCCGATCGCCTTCTGAAAGAAAACCAAGAAGCCAATTTCCAGCTTGATCTCGGAATAAGCCGCCAACAGATTCGAAACTGTTCATCGCCGAGACAGCAGCGTCGACATTGAGACAAATCCACCCTGGTTCCGGCCCCGACCAGTGAATAGGATGATGAACCATGTTAACCTGAAAAGAATTAGAAGTACAGCAAGCATAATAACAGCCCCAAGTAATTCCTCTATTTATAATATCGACATGAGAGATAGTCTCATTGTTATAAACAAGATCGTTTCTGGTCTTCCAAAGCGGCCAAAGCACTGAAACAAAGAGGACGGACCAAAGAAAATTCCAATCCGTTACCGTATCGTTGCATGAGATGTTATTTTGAAGCCAATCCTGCAAATTCAATTGATAAAACGTGTGGCTAAGATTCGAAGGCAGTAAGGTGTGCCAAACAGCCCGAGCTTCCCTGCGACCTCGCAAAATATGTTGGATTGATTCATCAGAGAAACAACCATAAGAGCAAGAGGGGGAGTGACCCATAGATCGTCGACATCTCTCCATATTAGTCATAAGACTGTTAAGGAAAACAACCCATAAAAAAATCGAAGCCGTTGTGGAACATGGGGTTTCCAGCAAGAATTCCAGAAAATATTTTTTTGGGTCCCAGGAAGAATTTGCTAAACGGGTGTAGGCTGATTTTATGTCAAATCGGTGCTTGGAATTCCATCTCCAAATAATACGATCCCGGTCTGCAAGGGGATCGGGGCATTGAATACCAAGAATGTGCATAACCACCTCGCGAGTAAAGATATCCGAAAGCTTGCTATAATCCCATCCACCATTGTTATTCGTGAAATCCGATAAATAACAAGGGGGGAGGGGGCCACTAAAATATTATAAAAGTTTAACAAAATGTTTGAAAATTTATCCAATCGAGTTGAACATTGTTCAACTCAATTTATTAAGGTCTCAAATCGAACTCAAATTTGAGTCGATTCAAATCGAGTATAAGTTTTGATTGAATTGAATTTGAACACCTCACGAATTGCTCAACTCATTAAACACTCATATGCATATCGATTCATTTGGTCGTATTCGGCACATTCGCATTCAAGGGCCAAGGCCATTAAACATGTAATAATTTACATAATTTGCAAAAGGGCAACTTGTACAAGTACATATACGTATAAATGTAAGTATAGATTAAAAGGATGCCCTACCGATACAATGTAGGTTATCCGGGAAAAAAGGTCGAAGGCTATAATTTTATGAACCCAGAAACCAGAAGGCACAGCAGAGTTACAAGGACTACTTACTTGTGTCATCTACATTTTTGTCCGAACCACTGGCTCTAGGGCTCCACGGCACCTCTCCCCTTGCTGCTCTCGGGTTCCCGGACTTGCCGCCACCGGTTGTGCCCTGCGAATCCACATCCTCCAGACCATTCTCTAGTGCTCTAACCAAGTTCTCAAAGTACGTTTTTGTCACACTGTAATAGAGAAAAGTACCAAAACCGAAACCGGTAAGCTCAATTCTAGACATCGAAGATCCGGCCTTTATCGCGAAACATTTCCGGCTAAGTATTATTGGAAGAACAAGAAGTCATTGAAAACAAACCTGGTTAGTCCGGTTAACTTCGTACGGAAGTCATTGAAGTCGCTTGATGGGTCATCAGCGGTAACAAACTTATGTAACTCTATCTCGGCACACCGATGAAGCCTCTCTAAACCGGCCTCGGCCTCCCCTAAACAAAACAGAACGATCATTTTGATCCTCCTAGTACTTTTTATTTAGAGAGTATGTGTATACCTTGCAAGTATTCGAAAAACTGTATCTTAGTATGCTCATGCTGGGGAAGATAATACCCGTATGCGTAAGTCCATTTGAGAACTCGCCTACATTCAACTATCTTCAATATTTAACGGATCAGGAAAAAGAAAACAAATGAATCAACTCTTTCTTTTCCGAAAGAAAAACGATGAACAAATGATGGTCGTATGATTATGATTTACCTGGAGCCATGCATCTGTTATGAACTTAAGCTGACCTTTAGTTGTGCATTGCACATTACAAAGCTTCTCCATCTGTGGGGGGGAGGGGGGTGGGAAGAAAATTTCTTAATAATTTAAAAAAGTAAGAGATTGAAGTAGAAAGCAAGGTAGACATCCGATTTAGACATAATGTACCTATGAGGATGGTACCTCCAGACTCGTGTCCAATTATGCATTGAATACAGATAGGACTGTAAATGAGACGAGACAGATTGCAAATTACTCGAGTTCAACTCGGTCAACATTCGAATCAAATAGATTCAATTCGAGTTCTTAACGATCCGAAGCGAACCACTTGATACCCGACTCAAAAAATATATATATATTATTTTTTTAGATTAAATTATTAATAATATTAACATTTATATGTTGGTTTTTCAAAATACAATATAAGACTTTCATGTACTTAAAGTTCAAGTCCAAACTCAACAAATTTAAGCTTCAATTGAGCTAAGTTCTAGATGTTTTGAGTTTTCAAGCTCGAGTGGAGCTTTCATTTTTTATTTCGAGTTGAGCTTAAAAATTTTAAGCTCGCAAACTTTCGAGTCCAGTCAAACTTCAATTTATGATTTAGAATTTGAGTCGAGCTTCACAATTTTATACTCGCAAGCTTTCGAGTCGAGTCGAACTCAACTTTAAACTTCTTGACTCAAGTTTAGTTCAGCAATACTCGAACTTGACTCGGTTCGTTTGCATCCCTAAATACGGATGCTGAACATACATATTTTAGGCAAATGAAAAGTCGAACTAACTTAGAATAATGCTACTGATAGAAAAGAATACGTAGATACACATCTCAAATTTTAAAAAAGGAGGTAAGAACTTACGAGCTCACTTTCCATCCTATGTAAATCTTCAAGAGCCCTTTCTCTTGACTGCAAATAAGAGCTTCCAGGTTATCCAAACTTTTTATTGAAAGAAGTCAACATTTTGTCAATGTAACCAATAAAAGGAAACAAAAGACAATAGCAAAGACAGAACCAATCACGGAAACATAAAAACTCTGAAATAACATTCATGAAACAGTGCCAACTCGCTGTGTTCTACCAGGCAAAATTGATAATATAATGTGGCGGAAAAAGAAATTGGTTCGTATAGCAAGTTGGGGAAATTATTTCTGAGATAGGGTGTTTGCTACAATACTGATGGGAAGACGCATGAATTACTTGGTGTCTTTGGGAAGATGCTTGAAGACACCGCATCTTTTCCAGACTACATGTAGTTGAAATGCCAAGTCTAGCAGAGTAGCAAAGCAGAAGATGACGTGTCTTCTAGGCGTCTTTCCAAAGATGCCAGGTAATACGTGCGTCTTCCCACCAATATTGTAACAAACACCCTATCTCAGAAAATAATTACCCCAACACCCTATACAAGCCAATCTTTTCTTCCAACACCCCATCTAAGCATTTTTACCGTTCTATTATAACTTCATCCTCAAAGTAGATGATAGGACCCTCAGAAAGATTAAGCAGTTGGTGGCACATCAACGTGTAAAAGTCTCAAGCTAAGTTGTGGTAAAAAAAAACTCGGGAATGGGAAGGTTCAAGTTTGAGAGGAAAAGTCAAAATCTTGAGTCGAAAGCACTAATCATGAAGCCACTACATGGAAGTCAATTTAAGAAAATTCTATTAATGACCTATGCCATGATAAATCAGGGAGAATTTGCATACAGATTGATTGCTTGCCCATCGTTCGTAATAATGAGTGTATCTCTCCAAGGAGTTCTTTGCCATATCTCGCCTAAATTTTGTATCCACAGACTGCCAGCAAGAATATGAATCATGAATCACAAGTAAAATCACCATCAAAAGCAGATGTTAAAGAGACAATGACTGGAAAAGACATTCAGTATACATACTCCCTTCTTCTTAGCAGCTTCATATCCGTTACAAGAATTGAAACCACCAGTGTTCGAACCATGTTGTGACCATGGACCAAGGCATAACCTGCATTTACATAACATATAATTAACATCACATAAAGGGTACAACTTTTATATAATGAGAAGCTGAAGACTTCAATTCTATCTCAATTTTTTATTAGGAATCTCAGCTCATCTATCATGAATTTTGATTAACTTTCAAACTTCAACAAATAATGCATCCTAGGAATATGATGGTTGATTGGATTATGTTACTTGGAGGATTTCAAACTATTTGAGGAGTTTAGTCTCATTTTCTCCAAGATTTTTTCCAGTTATTTCGTTAACTAGTTAGTTTCCTATTACAATCATAGTCCTAGCAAATTTAGACAAGTTACTCAAACTTTGGTGCATGTCGAATACAAGTATGTATACTAGGTAAGCACGTCCTAAAATCCTTTTGTATTCTTCGCTCTCTCTTTCTCACTTCTTACTTTTCCTTTATAGTAGCAATATTCTTGCTTTAACATTCATTCACACCACACTACCTAGAATTTCCAGAAATCTTTCCCCTAAATCTCAACTTTTTTCGAGATTTATGTCTGAATCAAAAGCGGGTTGATTCCTGGTCATTATTCCTACTATAACCATAAGCCTTAAACTCCATCAGCTCAAATCCTATCCCACTATAAACTCAGAGTAGACAGACTTACCCTTATGTAGTCTCATTTCAAGTAGTGTATATTATCACGACCAACAAAAGATTGAAGCTTACCAGCAGAACTCATAACTACAAGGCGGCGTGCATGTCATGTGCATACACCCTAGGTTCTTTTCAATTGGCCGCTTGCACTTGGGGCAAATCTTGGAATTATTTAGTATCCTGAACATAGCATACAACAACAGTGGTAAATGAGTGAAGCTAATAATATATGGAACAGAACACAAAATGTAGCACAGGTTTCGCAATAGAAATAAATATATTAGGTCAAATCAGTCAGCACTCAATTATACAGCGTTAATAATGTATAAGCATTCCTTGTTAACAATAAAGTAAAAGCGAACTTAGTTTCACTTTAAAAACATTTCATGCATCATAACCTAGTTCAAATACCTCCTCTGCTTGCCCTTGCAAACAAGATAACCATGTTAAATTGCCAACAAGGCGGAATTATGCATAGCTATGTTACTGGGACTCGGATGTGACTGTTGGATGGGGGTTGAGAAAATAGTCGGTTAACCGAATAAACAAGATTTCTAGTTTATTCAGTTTTGGCAGCTAATTAGGTTCGGTTATCAGTCCTAACTGAATAAACCGATTGATTGAACGTATATATTTAACTAATTTAATATTAATATTAAATAAAATACTCAAATATGAAAAATCAATCTAATTATTTAATCAATATGTTTAATTTAACAATGATCAATTTTATTTTATATATAAAAAATATTAAGGAGCAAAAAAAGAAGTAAAATTTGGTTATTTCGGTTGTGGGTTTAAAGTTGGTTTGATTTATTCGATTTTTATGATTAAGTCGGTTTATTTGGTGATTGATAAATAAAAACCGAACCGACCGACGGCACACCCCTAATGGTTGACACAGGCATGCTCAATTTCTTTTTCAAGTGTTTTCATATATTCAAGGACGGATGCAGGAATTTGTGTCAGGGGGTGCGAACATAATAAATTATATTAAAACTTTAGGGGGGTGCGAGATTATAAAATCTCGGGGGTGTGAAATTAAATAATTCATATAAAATACAAAGAAAATATCTAAAATATAAGGGAATTTAGAATTTCTAGGGGGTGCAAACCCCTCGGTCCATCCCTGCATATATTTGAAATCCTGGAAGATCTATCCAGACCCATGTCCTAAAATGCATCCGACAAGGGTACTTTAAGAAAAATGAAGAGCCGAAGCAAAAAAGATACAAAAAGCAAAACTGGAAAGAGGTTTCATGAGATCTGGCGAAAAACAGATCTAGCATTTCTTTGTAATTCAAATCATATAATAGAAATACAGGAATTAAATTTATAGCATGTTTCTTCTAGAATGTGCAATGTATCATACCAGTTCATGTTTTCCCCATCCACACTGTTCTTCAGCATCCATTTTGTCACAGTATCACAATCAACAGGACGATGAGCTTCTACAGTACACTGCAACCAAGATTTGCTTGAACATAAAGACATCCGGAAGAGAGTGATGCCCATGAAATATAATATAATAAAATACAAAAAGGAAAAAAGAGAGAAGAGAATAAACTTACATTCCAACAAAATCTATATGAGCACAAACAGGTGACATCAAAATCACCACAGCCGACGGCAAAATACACAGCATTTTCACACCCTGGAGCAGGGCACCACTTGGTCTAGCAGTGACAAGGTCGAAAAATATAAGAACTTTAAGAAAAAGGAGAGAACCTATTAAACCAAGATTGCCGGCAACTCATGCTCACTAATGCATTGCACGCACAGCAGCACAAGTGCCACACAGAAGGGGATACATGCAAGTAAACATGCACTGTGAAGAGTCTAACCCGACTTTCAAAAGTCGGGTCATCAGCAAGGCAAAAAGTTCAAATAATTTGATGATTAATAATCCTTTATAACCTATTGGTATATCTCAAGGTTCTAATACAAGACATACCTCTCTGTTATCTTCAATATAAGATCTAAGTAGAAACAGAGAATACTTCTCCTTTTCTTCACAAGTTGCCAATTTATCAATCATATCTGGGCCAATAGAAGCTTTACACGATGGCTCGGGACATATCAGCAATAAACATCCAGGACCATCATTAATTCTTGTGCAAAGGTAGCCTACCATATTAACAAAATATAGCATAAAAAGTAAGCAAAGGTTTTGTGTCAAAAAGCATTAGAGCTTACAATAGTGAAGTACTTACAACAAAAAAGAACACTGAATTTAGTATATATTAGCAACCTAATATAAGAAAATTGAAACCTTAATAACCAAAAGCTAATGGTAGTATGGTGATAAATTCATTGGAAACTTCAATTTAAAGAAAGGGAAAACACTTGTATACAATCACACTTAGACTAGATATAAAATTAGTCTATCAAACAAAGCATATGAGAGATACCTTGCCAGCAATCCCTGCAAAAAGGATGACCACAAGAAGCTGAAGCAAAATTGTCACACGGAAGCGATTCAAAACAAATCCCACAAGTAAACTGGTTGGGAAGCAATAATATGTGTCAGAGGCACATAATTTGCCAGGATGAACAATAAGAAAGAACATGTTTCCAAAAGCATAAGCAAACTCGCAAATCTATAGAACTTACTTTGCTAGCATCTGATACATCTACGACTGGTCTCTCCAACAATCCAACAGATTTCCGCACTCTTTCTTCATCGGCAAACCATTCTTCATTCACTTGATTAACATTCCTACATAACCAACCGTATTTTGTAAACAAATTAAAAAAACTATATGAACAGCCTAATGCATGAAAATTGCAGCATGGTAAAGCAGCCACAGCTACCTTTCCAACAAAGCCAAATAGCTTCTTGCTATGTTAAATACAAAAAGGGATGCCTTATAATGGTGTATGTAAACTAAGGCTTAAATCAAAGAAATGCACACTATTGATATTGGAAACTCAATACTACCAATTATAGCGACGGAGCAAAACAGTTGCCTGAACTTTCGGTATTGAAAGAACGGTTGAAACGTTAGAAATATCATCTTCTTGTCGTTGTTTTATATATGCTTCTTTCAAAACAGTGTAACCTTGCTGAAATAGGAAACAAAAGCATGTTAATAATGGTAATAATGGAGGAAGTATAAAATTCAATGCCTAATGTTTTTTATCTTCCGAGCTTCGAATATTAGAAGCTAGCAATTCCACTATTACCATAAGAATACGGAGTGCAAGAAACAAAAACCCACTTTCCAGTTCTATTCATCATTAACATAAACCCAAAAGTTTTAGACCCGACCCTATGACATGGAGTAACAATTTCATCCAATCGTTTCTTGGAACCTATTTCTTCATCATGACGGAATTAAAATGTAATAAAGAACTGACTGAATAAACTATTTAAATTCAAATTCAATGAAATTAAATAAAAATCAAGAACACCAGTAATGGCAAGTGGAAACCCTTAAGACAATCACTGCCTCATTAATAACCAAATCATTCAAAAATGTAACACTAGTATTCACAAGCTATTTGAGTTCGACTCGAAAGAAACTAGAATTTGATTCGATAACTATCAAGTCGAGATTTAGCAGCTTGAGCTATCGATCAAGCTGAGTCCAAACATCATAATACTCGGCTCGAGCAGCTCACGAGCCTAATCAAGCTTTCTAATTAATATATATTATAAGTATTTTCCTATTTTTAGGGAACACAATTACCCTTACCATGTATACTATTTATCCAGACCTAATTTTCAACCCCCTTTCCCCAGCTGCTAACCGTTCCAGCCAACATAACCATTCATTCAGGTAACCAATTTTTTCCCTATACTTTGATTGCTTTCCCAAACCCACCACTCGTGAAGCTCCAATCACAAGAACTTTGACGATTCCATTTTAGGTGACCAATTTCTTTCGAGTCTTATATTTCAAGCTACGATGCATCTTTATCTCTGAGTTTTATATTTTGATTACGATGGCGATGAGGATCATGTTTTTCTTGAAGATGACGTCACCCATGTTCAGTGTAAGGATTAAGTTGCATGCTAGAAAAGAAGCTTAATATATTTAAATATCATCCAAGCATTGTTTTTTTCTTTTTTAAAAAAAGACTAGCTATCAATAAAGATGCTGCAGGTTTGATAACTTCATTTTCGTATAAATATATATAATTATTTAAGTGTCTCACACGTTGATTTGATTTCTTCTAAAGTAATTGATGGTTTTATATGCACAAGATATGTAATTTTAGCTCGAACTCGAGCTAGAATACAGACAGACTTAATTGAGACTAATCAAACTCAAGCTCAAATAGTTCGTTCATATCTCGAGTGGAGCGCAAGCGTAGAATTTGATATTTGGTGGAGCTCGAGCAGAGTATTGAGCTCCGAATATTGAGTCAAGCTCGAATTGGTCACTATTCAGACTCAGCTCTGCTCATTACACCCGTAATCAGGTACATAAAATCCATTTTTATCATTTCATCACTGCTGACAGCAAATTATATAAATTTCCAAACAATTCCTTGGATTATCTTCATTCTTTTTAATTTTAGTATCATTTTCTGGTATTGCCGCCTCTACTCGTTGTAACTAAATTCGTTAAAATTTCAATTTTTTTCTTCACTCTTTCTTTGTCTAAAACTTCCGTGTATGAAATTAAGCAATCCTTAGCTTCATGATTAAAAATCAACAGACCTAAAAAATTCAATTTATTTCCTGAGATAATTATCAAAATGAAAGATTTTTATTCTATCGCGGAACTGAAAGACAGGGATTACCTTGGGACGCCGAGAAGAAACGGCGTCTTCATCTTCAAGCAAACCTTGACCCTCGTCGTCATCGCCATAGCCGCCGTAATCATCGTAGTCGTCGTCGTAACCATCGCTGTAATCACCGCCTTCAAAATCGTCTTCCATGGAAACCGAGTTCAAGTTATCCCCCGACACCATCCCGAAAACCTAAGACGGCAAGGCCTTGTGTGGATGGTGCGAGAGAAAAATCGAATCGAAAGAGAAACAAAATCAAAAAAATAAAAAAAAGATTTTGAGGTAAGAAATGAAAAGAGAGAAGGCGTGGTTTTTGCGGTACGAAAATCCGAAGCATGCGGCTCTCGCTTTCTCTCCCGATCGTCCGAATCAATGAAGCGCGTTCTCTCGCCTTTGAACGCCACCAAACACGGAAATTTGGCCTATGAATAAATACATATCATTTTGATTCAATTATAAAAAGGGTAAATTATGAGTTTAGTACTTAAACTATTAGTTTTCATACATTTAGTACATAAACTTTCTATATTTCCAAAATCATACCTAAAATTTAATATTTATTTTATTTTAGTACCATGTTAAAACATTAAGTTTTGAATTTTTTGGGTAAAGTATAGTAATGGTCACTTAACTTTTCTAAAGCTTTCATTTAGGTCCTCTAACTTTTAAAACTTACAATACAATCCTCCAACATTTGGTCTATTTACAATATGGTCCCCGACGTAACCAACCGTTTGACGTCGTAACACTGTCGTTAGTACTTTTGCAATATGGTCACTGAACTTTTCAGGCGTTTGCATTTAGGCCCCACAACTTTTAAAACTTGCAACATATTTCTCAATTTCATTCTAAACCCCAAATTCATTTTCAATCTCGAATTTCCTTTTTTCGCTTCTCTCTTCTCATTTTTATCGTAACTTTTCAATCGGTGATGCATGAAAAATTCTAATATAACTTTGAATTATGTGGAGGTGTTGACTTGAATAAGGGTCTATTGAGAGAAGAGCCGACTAAGGGACTATAGGGACCATCAACGATTCAAGGTGTAATGTTAGATACAGGTCATCTCAGGTGAAGCATAGATGTTCGATGAAATGCTTGTTAGAAAAAAATGGGGTTAGAAATACAAAGTTGGCAAATACTACTAAGATGAACTAAATATCATTGTTGAAAGTTACCAACAAAGCTGGAATTATTTTGTATAAATGACATATAATAATTTCTTCGTTTAATCCTTGTGGTTAAAGATTTTCCAACATATGATCAAATATAATGAAATCTCAAACAACGCATTCACCTATCAGTCTCTTTCGCTCACATGCACTCTCGTTTGGTTTTTGTTCTTCAATTTTCTGCCATGTAAAATTGTAAATTCAACCAGCTCTGTCTTTCAGCTTTTTATTTACAAAGAAAAAATGGAGGAAGAATTACTGGAACGCAACACTGATTGCGTTTATTTCTTAGCCTCTCCCCTCACTTGCAAGAAGGTATTGATTTTCTCTTTTTGGCTATCCAGAAGTAAGCTTTTGCTCTTTCGCACTTTCCTATTTTCAGCTCGCTTTATATGTTTTTTTGTTGAAATTTTTATGTTTCTGGAACTGCATGTTAATGATCTGGATATTCAGTGTTAGTTTTGAACAAAAACCATCTAATTTTCTTTTTTTCTTCTTAATCAAAACTTTTAGTACTCCTTATAAAAGATATTCAGTCTATCAGAATAGAAGTGAAAGAGGGTCCTAGGCTAAATTTTTTATCTTCTTGTTTGGTTTTTCTTTAAATCAGAAAATTGGTTGCGAGTATCGACATAGTAAAATCGCCAGGCTCAATTCGAGAGACTACTGGTACTAGTTTATTAGGAATTGTATTGATCCGACTTGTGGTTTTCGGCGTCCTGTGAGCTCGTATTCTTTTTAATAAGTTCATGTTAATTATGGAAATGATATATCGTGAACGAATTGGATTTTTTTACATGTTTTGGAAATTGAGGATTGTGTTGCAAGTTTTAAAAGTTGGGGGACCTAGATACAAGTGCCTGAAAAGTTCACTGACCATATTGCAAACGTACTAACGACAGTGTAACGGCGTCAAATGGCCGGTTACGTCGGGGACCATATTGCAAACGAACTAAATGTTGGAGGACTGTATTACAAGTTTTAAAAGTTGAGGGACCTAAATGAAAGCTTTAAAAAAGTTCAATGACTATTACTATACTTTACCTTTTTAAAAAAAAAATTAAGTTACTTGTAAGCATCGTTTTTGCCTTGCCATCTAACTAGCACAGCAGCCCTATGTTGTTGTCCACCAAATCCCAGCAGCCCCATGCTCAAGCCTTCCTACCGCCACTACCAACGCCACAGCAGCACAACCAAGGACCCCATCAACAAATTACACGCAACAAACAACAACAAATAGAAATGTAATTTAGAACGGATTATAAAAACCCAAAAAAACAGAGAATGGAGGAGGCTCTCTCTCCCCCATTTTCTTTCTTTTCTCTAGATAAACATTGTAACATGCCTCCCCCATTTTGAATCAATACAACCAGAAACAACCAAGTATTTGAGAAGGTTTTTTTTCATTCTTTCTTTTTGCTTTCTTTACCTAGTTCGAAAGAAAGTAAAAAAAGATAGGTTGTTTTCCTTAGTTTTTAGGGTGTAGTCCGAGTTCTTTATCGGAGCGTAGGTCGCCAAAAATTGAAAAGTCGAAAAGTTGTTCCTCTAGCCATTTGTTGGCTTGTTTCGGTTTTGGGGTTGGTTTTTGGGTTTCGGGTTAAATGTTTGGAGAGGATGAGTTTTCTAGGCTTTTTAGGGGGTCGTGTGATCCCCCTTAGTCGGGTAGAAGGTCGATCGGGGCAGAGAGAGACTTCGTTAGGTCAGTGGCCGACGATCGAGAGACTTTGAACCTCCATGGTGAGCGTCGTTCGTGGGGCATGGAGAGAGAGAGAGAGTTGAGATGATAAAGAGAGGAGGTGGAAGAATTTTTTTTTTGTTTTTTTTTGTTTTCACTTGATTCTGGATGATAAAGAGAGGGGGTTAGTTTCAAAAGTTTTGGGTAAATCACGAGTCAAGTCCCCAAAATTTGTTGGTCTTTACTTTCGTCCCTTTTCTTCACGAACTTTTAATCTGACCTCTTAACTTTATTTCTATTTATTTTTGTCATTATTTATGGTTATATGCGTTTATTTCTTTTTTTATTTTTTTGTGCCCTTTTGTTTTAATTATATTTCAGTCTCTATTTTGTAAGTAATTTATATATTAGTACCTTTATTTTATGCAACTTTAATTTAAGCATTAATTTTATGCATTTACATTTCTTCCCTTTACTTTTATGTATTTATATTTCTATCCTTTTATTTTTGTTATTCATTTTCAGTACTTTAATTTTAGTCCTTTAACTATTTTGCTTTATTTTATGTTTATTTTATTTTAGTCCCATGAGTATATATGCATGTTTCATATATTTATCACATTGAATGTCTTATTTTGCTATCTGGCATTTTAGTCCTTATGTATATTTATGATTTATTTAAACACTTATATTTATGTGATACTTATTTTTTGGGTCTTTGCTTTTTATCGTGTTTATATTTTTGTCATTCTAGTTTAAACTTTCGTCATCTAGCATGAATAATTAAATTTGTTCAAATTGGCTTATTTTTTTTATTTTAGTCGAATCAACTTATTTTAATATCGAGTTCTTAGTAGAAATTATTATATTCTTTTTATTTCAGATGGGAAAAAAATATTCGTCCTAAAGTATTTTTAGGGATTATTTTCTCTTCGATTGGAAATATTGGAATATTTTATATTTCTCCTTAGAAGTTTTCTTTAAATAAAAATTGTATGGTTGAATTTGGAATAATAGAATCGTAACTTAAATTTATATTTGAATTCTTAGATTTTTACTATTAGGGACAATTTATAATCGAAGGGGTACCAATTTTGGGCGTTGTGGGTTTGTTGTTCTTTCCCCACACGTAATTGACCACCGAACTTTTTTTTATTCAAAAAATAAATTTATGGTTACACGTAGACTTGTTTATCTTTTAAAATGATGTTTTCTTAAAAACTCTTTTAAAATATAATTTTTAGGTATTCGACCTACCTAACCCAAAAGGTCGATGGCGACTCCAAAATATTTCTTTTACAAAATTGATTTTTTTAAAACTAAATCGAGACACATCGTATCATCGAAGATTGGTTACGACAGTACTAAAATGAAACAAAAACTAAACGTTAGATATAGTTTTAAAAAAAATATATGAAAGTTTAGGTACTTAAACGGATCGAAACTGATAGTTTATGTAGTAAATACATAGTTTACCCTTGTAAAAATATCCATATATTAAAATAAAGGCATAATGCAAAAATGGTCATTTTGCCTCTTATTCTATTTTTTTGGAGTATTTTGGCTCCATCGTTTCATTTTAGGGTAAAAACCTCCTAACATTCGACAGGATAATTACTTTGTCCCTATTTTTTTGGGCATTTTAACCCTCAACGTTTCATTGTAGGTTAAAAAATGTTCCTATTTTAGAGCATTAATCGAGTGTTAACTAATGTTTTTCATCTATAAAGGGAGCTTTTTATTCCAAAGTTAAACGTTGGGGCCAAAATGCTTTAAAAAAAGAATAAAGGTCAAAATGACCATTTCAATAAACGTTAGGGGCCTCTTTTGGCATTATGCCTTAAAATAAGGGTAAACTACACTAATATGTCCCCATACGTTTAGAACACTTTTATTACTATCATTAAACGTTTAAAATATTTTTATTATAATTATTAAAATTTTAAAACTTACATTAAAACCACAGCCTTTTTTTAGTAAAGTTTAATATTATTTCCATGTCATCCATTGTTGTTAACTATCTAATTAAATTGCACGAATCAAACGATCACAGTGGTGAAAGAATCATTATTATTTTTTAAAATCTCAGACGTCTACAGGAATATATAAACATTTATTATCAACCTACTGAGAGTAATATTCATTAAAATTTTTAAATATTACTTAAAAATGTTATAATAATTATAGGAACTCACAAAACCATTTTTCCCTTTTTCACATAAAGATTTACATATAAAAGTATAACTTTAAACATGACAACCCAAAGCATACCTTAGAGAAATAAGAAACTCATCATTTTAGCACAAAATATAAGTAAAAATCACAAGCAAGCATATAACTCATTTAACATTTATATTCACCACACAACCCAAACCCCTCTTTCGATGACTAAAACTCGAAAAGAGAGTTCGGAACTCGAGGTTTGAAAACCGGTGACGGGCAGATCGTATTGGCGATGGTAAACGGTTGGACTCGATCCTACACGTTCATGCTATACTTGAAAAGTTTGGAAAGAAAGAAATATGGTTAATATTTTAGCG